ATAAAAAATAATTAATTTGAGATAAATTTTATATTCAAAAGATAACAATTATTTTATGAGTTCCCTATTTGTCAAATTGTAAAATAAGAACCATTACATTGGAGAAGGAAACTCCAACATTAAAGAGCTTACCTTCATTTAATTGTTAAAGTTATATAATTTAAAGCAATTTAAATTATACTATATTTTTTTGTTATTTTATTTAGATCAATTTAATCGAAATATTTTATTAATTTAGAGTATATTTTGCTTTAAAAAAATAAAGAAAAGGATTTAGAACAAAAGGTTTTTTAATTAATTAAATTATAATATTTATCAATATTCTAATCTAATTGATTAAAAAAATTAACTTACTTCTTTCATTGATTATATTTTTCTTAAACAAAACATATTCTTGGTATTAACGGCCAAATTTAAAAAAGAAAGAAAGAAAGAAAGAAAAAAAAAACTCTTTGCTTTATTATTTATATAAATTTTCATATGTGTAAACAATAATTTTTATTCTGCTTTCTTCCTGTACCCCTCAATATTATACTAAACACATGAAGAATCTTAGTTTAAGACTACCATAATGGATAGACTGCGGTCATGTTTGGATAAAATGATCCGAAATTTTGCTCTGTTCCGGCCGGTTTCTGGTTCTCGTTGAACAGAGCAAAGATGTACGTCTCGAGATTCAGATTTGGGTTTCTCGGTGTCCCTTTACCGTTTTGAATGCGATTCTTTAAATTATTGTTGTAAGTTCGAGCATTCTCGATCGTTGCGTGCGGTTCGTTTCCGGCGCTTGGCCATCCAGTCTCAGACACCACGACTTTGACATCCTCACTCCCGACTACCTTCACCAGCGCCGCTACAAACGAATCCACTATCGCATCGAACAGGTTGTAATATTGCCGATCTCCGTCGATGACTACAGCATTTTGAGATCGAAACAAGGCGTAGTCCAATGAGATGTGTTCTGGATCTGAGATGTAAGCGAAGTACGGGTAAACATTGATCAAGAGCGGAGCGTTGTTGCTGTGCAGATAATTTGCAATATCAGTCATGATTCCTAACACATCCTGGGCAAATGCACCAGCGGAGGGGGGAAAAGAGCTTCCGAGCACCCCAGAGGGTACGACGGTGGAGACCTGGATGTTGCTGGAGAGTTTTGCCTCCACCAGCGCCTGTTGGAGGTTTTTCATAGCTGGGAGGACTTGAGCGGCTAAGGGGCCAGGGATGACTTCGTTTCCAACTGTAAGATAGCGAAATCTAGTGCCTTGGCCGTTGGAGTTTATGTACGGAGTGATGTATTTCTTGATCCAATCTCTGGCGAAGTCAAGGCTACTGGCCAATTGGGGGATGTCCTGATTTAGGGTGCCCAGGGCGACAATAAGATTTGTTTCGCTCAGTGCTGCTAAGGCTTCAGGTTCTGGGTCGAATAACCGAACCAATGGGATTGCGTTATTCAAGTCCTTAGCAAGGAATTCGATGACCCGTTTTGGAGTTGGCAAATTGTTCCCGAGTCTTCCATAATTGATCCCAATATCAGCTCCTATAAAGAGATTAATTTGATTCACAAATCATCATTATTAATTATTGGCTTTTTTAAACTTGTATTTTTAAAGTATAAGTTAATAGTATTTTTTTATCATAAATATATATAAAAAAATATAAAAATTGATAGTAGTTTTAATATTAGTTTCAAGTTAATAAATTTAATTAAATAATTAATGAATTAAATGTTAATTTTCTTTTTAATACAATTTTATAATAAAAAAGTGTATTTAATCCACTAAAGAGTAGCGAATTCTTTGATGGGGAAAATGATACTAGAAGAAAAATTGATGAGGAAAATAGTACTATAAGAAAATTTGACGTGGTTGAACACTAATTTGTGTTCGTTGGCAAGTTTGAAACAGTTATTGCGTATTATGATATTTATGTGACTAAATTTCTGGCCAACTGCCTCCATTACAGTAAGTTTGCCATATGTGATTATTAATATTATTATTTCATACTTTACATTAATTTTGAGAGAAAAATGAAACATACCCAAAACTTCTGAATGGTGAGGTATAGCAATTCCCAAAAATAGGATCCATATAGCTACGGTTGGTGTCATCTTGTGCTCTCTAAGAAATAGATAAACGCAATCACATATGATTAAACAAATATTATGTGAGAGGAAAATAAATTCTTGACGTTAAAAGAAGTGCAGATGTATGCATGTAATCTTAAAGGAATATATAGGCAATTGAGTGAGACACCTACAAAGAGAAGTATCTAAGTTTCCAAAGAGTTGTTTGATGCTGCATGTCTGATGAGATACAAACAGCATTTTTATATCACAATGGTTGTACAGGGCTTTGTTGCCTCTCTTATGAGCCTGACAATCCTAGAAATATTAAACTTCTCAAAGAGGAAAAATGTTGCATCCTTAGAATCTTAAGCCTATATGTGAAGAATAATTGAGATGATCATATCATGATATTTAATGCCAAATTTAGCTTTTAAATTTTAATTTTGACCCATTTTAGTCATTGATGTTATTCTTGATTTTGATATATTTAAACCAAATATGAATGTGAATATATCTTAACTTATTTTTAGTGATATTGATATGATTTTTATGAATTCCAAATATTGTGTTTGATTGGGTTTCCTTTTATATTGGAAGCCAAATTAATTATATGATTACCTATTCAATATATTTCCTTTTAAGGTGAACTAACAAAAATAGAAATTACATGTTTAAGTTGAGGTACCAACCCCTAACAATAGGGTTCAAAACCCCTAATAATTCTGTTTTGGGAGGACTTGCAGGGAATTCTCTAGGTTTCAACCCTAAAAGATCAAGGTACAAAACCATGAGACTTATTGTTCAATGAAGAATGACGTAGAGGTTCCAGCCCTTGGAGATAGGTTGTAACCCCTCGTGCTAAAGAATTTGAATAACTTACCATACTTGGACCATATTCTTTCCAATCATGCTCCAACAGTCATAATCATTTGATTGAGCAATTTTAAGGCAAAAATATCAGACCTTGAAGCAGAGAAACACAAGAAGAAGAGCTTTCAACCTTAGAAACAAAGAAAGATTAAGCTTCCACTTTTGTTCTTTCAGAAATCAACTCTTTTATAGAATTGTTCTTATTCTCTTTCATTGTAACAAATGAGAGAGGGATTGAGAAACCTTGTTAGATATAGAAATCCATCCTTGAGGTATAGGAAGGGTTAAGAGATTTGTAACAAGGGGATTGAATGCTTTAATAGCACCTGTAAACAATTGGAAAAGTGATTGGGCAACTTTGTTAGATCTAGAGAAAACCAACCTTACCTTGTGATATAGGATTGGGTTTGTGAGAGATTGTAACAAGGAGTTGAATCGTGGAAGGTGGATAGCATTGGCAAAGCTATTGCAAACAGTTCTCTCTACACTTGAAAGTTGGAGAAGAGCTTTGAATCCAAAGAAAACTCTCAAACAAGCGGCTTGAGAAATAGAGTCGGAACAAATTGTAAACGAACCACTATAAATCCTTGTATTTGAGCTTTCTCTTCCCTTAACTTTTAATTTCTACACTTTAAATTATTTGTTTAAAATTACTTGTGAGTGTTCATTGTCTTGTGCTTGAAAATTACATAAAGTTTTTTAAAACCCAATTCACCCCCCCTTTCAGGTAGCCATCATTTGGGCCAACAATTGAACTATTTTTTACATTTTTTTAGTCCTTCAACTATATATATGAAAAATACAATTTTTTAATTTTGCAGCAACTTGCAAGATGGAGAATCCTTAATCAAGTCCTAGTATTATTAAACCTTTTAGAAGACAGAAAAATGTTTTTGATCCTTGTGATCTTGGCTTTGTTTAACTTGGCTTTGTTTAACTTGGCTTTACACATACCTTTTTTCACATAACAACTTATCTAAAAAAGTAAATTTATTGTTTACTAATTTTAATAAGTAGGGATCTATTTACGCAAAAGTTTTATACACCATATTTACATAAAATCTCAATTACTTCTCTCTTCATTTTCAATGGTTGAGATTTATTCACATTTATTAAAAATAATTCTTTTATTTAAAAAATCATAATAAATCTCAATTATTGAAAGTAGAGAGATAAATTATCAAGAGTTTACATAAATATAATGCATATAACTTATGTGTAAGTGGATTCCTCTTTAATTTTCATTAGTATTTTATATACTTTGGGATGGTAAAAGTTTTTTAAAAAACAAACTTATGATTAGAGGAAAAAAATATGTTGGATTCTTAGGATCTTGTCCTATGTTTGAAGATTCATATGATCAAATCTTGATATCTAATATATTTGGATCCTATGACAACTTGCAACATGGGGAATCTTAATATATCCTACCATTATTAAACTTTCAAAAGAGAAGATGTTAGACTAAATTTTTTGAAAATTGTCAACAAAGAAATGATTTTATATAATCATATGCAATAGTAAAGTATATAGTCAATGAAAAAGAGGATTTTGGATTAAATCTATTGAAAATTGTTGACAAAGAAATGATTGGCTGGTATGAAAAGAGATGATCCAAATGGAATTAAAATCACAAGAATAACATGATTTTTTTTTTTTGAATTGATAGTCTAAACTTATTACAAGTACTACTTGTGAGAATATATAATGAATACAAAGCAAAACTTGTAACACAAAGGTTTATACAAAACCTGATATTACTTTTGAGAAGATATTATCTCTTGATAGATTATCATGTTTTTTTAGGAACCTTTGAAGGACTACAAATGCATTTTATGAATGTTGCAATATTTGAATACATGATAATCATATTTTTATGAAAGTCCATATAGGACATCAGAAGTTTTTAAATTCATATGCTTGAAGCATATAACACTTAAGCTAATAACTAAAGCTTGATATGAAACTTCAAATGCTTAAAGCATATAGTTCAAACTAAGAGCTACATTTTTGTGGTACAATCATTGTAGTGAATACCTTCTAAAGAAGGGTATATTACCTCGTTTCATATATTTTTATTAAGAGGTTAAAATTGAACTTTGTTATTGTTGCAAAATATGCTAATGATTTAAGTATCATTATAACTCTTGAAAAGTTTGGATGAAACAATAGCATGTTTTAAAGAATGACTTTGAGATGAAAAACTTCAAAGTAATAAAATTTTGACTTGGGTTGCACAACAGTTATTAAGTTTGATATTTATGATCAATCAAATTATGAATAAAAGATTTTAAAGTGCTTCAACATTGATAAAGATTATGCTTTGAACTCATTAATGGTGATTCAATCCCTTGATACACACACGCACTCATGACACATGCACGACACAATCAAGATGCATGCATGCATGCACAACACACACATGCATGATGCATGCATGCACACACGACACATGCACACACACACGAGATGTGTTCAATGAGATGTGACTACAACATTTTGAGATCTAAGCAAGGTGTAGTCTAATTAGATATGTTTTGGATCTTAGATGTCAGCAAAGTACAGGTAACCATTGATCAAGAGCAATGTGTTGTTGCCATGTAGAAAATTTCCAATATTGATTATAATTCCTAACACATCTTGGGCAAATGCATTAGTGGAGGGGGGAAAAGAGCTCCTTAGCACCCCAAAGGGTATGACAATGGAGATTTAGATGTAGCTCGAGAGTTTTGCCTCCATCACCACTTGTTGGAGGTTTTTCATAACTGGTAGGACTTGAGCAACGATAGCACCAAAGATGACTTCGCTTCCAATTGTAAGATAGTGAAACCTAGTGCATTTGCCATTGGAGTTCAGGTACGAAATGACATATTTCTTGAGCTAGTGTCTAACGAAGTTGAGGCTGCTGGCCAATTGGGGGATGTCTTGACTTAGGTTGCCTATGTTGTACCTATGATTTTGATGATTACAAAACACATTTGAGTGACTAATTGGTTTATTTAAGTGTGTAGTTAAGTTGTTAAAAGATTGCAAGTAAACTTGGATGGCACTAAAAATAGACCAAAAGGATTCAATGTGCAGAGAGCCGGCTCTGGTAAAGTGCTGCCGGCTCTGGCGAAATGGAAGTGCAGAGAGCCGGCTTTAGAAGCTGCAGCCGGCTCTACAGGCGAAAATTGGAAGACCGTTGTTTGGTGTGCGTGGAGAAAAGATGCAAAGCCGGCTCTAGCTTTGCAGCCGGCTGTGAGGGTGCATTTAATGCACTACAATCGACTATTTTGAAGAATATTTAATGTATTTAAAGTCGGAATTCCAAAGCCGGCTCAAAGTTTTGCAGCCGGCTCTCGAGGAAAACAGAATGTGCAGGAATCCCGCAAAGCCGGCTCTGGAAGTTTAAGCCGGCTCTCCTAACAATCTTACAACTCGAGCTTCGCGTCCTGCAGGGCATTTAATGACATCCAACGGCTAGTAACGGCTATTTTTCGAGCAAGGGGCTATAAATATGGCTAGTAACAGATGTGAAGAAGTTTAGAGAGTATTGTATTGAATATCTTTACCTACCTATATGAGTTTTAACTAGAGATTTTGATCTTTGAGAGATCTTTGTTTGTAATCCTCTTCTTGTGCTATTAGTGAGTGATCTTGGGGGTGTGTTGATTCCTTCAAGAGTGATCTGTAAAGAGGATCTTTGGGGTTTAAGTGTAAAGGGGTGAGATTTGAGAGAAACCCTTTTTCTTGTAAAGGATTGAGTGGCTCCTTTAAGCCACCATTGTTTTTGCTAGTGGAGAGTGTGGAGGAAATCCTTGGTGAGTGAAGCCAAGGTAGAGGACTAGGCTCCAAGTGGTTGGATCGAACCTCTATAAAATCATTGTGCAAGTTCTTCTTCTCAACTCTCTCTTTAATTTTTGTTTGGTGGTTGCAAAGAGGCGAAAATTTTCCAACTCCAATTCACCCCCCCTCTTGGAGTGCATTGAGTCAACAGCCTAAGGTGACAATAAGATTTGTTTTGCTTAGTGCTGCTAAGGCTTCAAGTTCTAGGTCAAATAATTGAACCAATTTGATTGTGTTATTCAAGTCCTT